AATGGCCTTTGGAGCAGGCACTAGGATTTCTTCTCCAGCTCTTTTGTGAATCTAGCACTTAGATTCTCTGGTAATAGATAGATTACAGGATTGTGAAGTGCCATATCCTTAATTAAAGTCTTGAAAATTTTATGGAGATTGCATGGTGGAAATTACAGGAGAGGAAAAATTAAGGACTAAACAACTGGAGATGTGGGAAAATGTAGCAACAGATTTCCTCACCAAATTGAAGGATGACAAAGCCCTGGATAAAAAAAATTAAAATTTGACAATATGAGGGAGTTGTTTTGGATATAAAGGAAAAAGATTAAGATGGTGGGTGAAGATGTAAGGAGGAGGGCTGTTTTGCTTGTATTATTGTGGCATGTATATATCATAAGCCCCAGTCTCGTTATACTGAGATGGAGTACAGCACAAGACAGATGGTGTCTGCCCCCCAAGAAGTGAAAAAGCTGAGTATAAAACTGAAGACAACAAACAAAGGCAAATACAAAATTGAGGGAAATGTGAAATAATAGAGACAGCGTGAATAGTTGTGTGACCTGCACAGCAACAGACTTAAGTCTTGCGGGGTGTTTTCCTTGGGTTTTTTTCAATAAGCATCATAGCAAAGGGAAGAGTTTGAGGGGAGATAGTGTTGTGGACACTTAGGGAGACCTGGTGCTAGGCGTAGGAAGCCACATGGAAAATAGAACAAAAGTGCCTGTCCAAAAATGTTGAGATGAGTGAGAGTGACTGTTTGTGTTAACTGACTGGAGGCAAGAGTAGTTTTGATAAAATTGATCAAATAGGTATGGACTATTAAGTTAAAATAAGTAGCCTGCATTTGTGCTAGGGAGTGGCAGACTGATGGCAATATCTGAAGAGAATGCCGCATCTAAGCAGTATGTTCAGAAGCCGGGCTCTGCAGTGCTCCGAGTAGGTATAGGGAGGAATAAAAATTCATTTGTTGAGGCCAGAGAAAAGGGTATGGCAGTAACTGAGATGTGAAGTAAGAGCCTAGATAATTTGTTCATGTAGGTGGCTAGAAAAAGTTTTAGCTTAGATTATGCAAAAAGGATCTGCAAGATGTGGATGTGTTCTCACATAGGAATCTAAACAGAGCTTGAGTTAAAAAAGAAAGTGGTACAATCAACAGTGATGGAGAGCTATTAGGTTAAGACATGAGATGTTGTTTTTCAGAGATATTAAGCATAAGTAGGTGATCTGACAGCCAGGATTTTCGGTACTTTTCACAAGTGCAAATCAACAGGTCTAAAAAAATGGCACATTTACAGTAATAATGGAAAGTACAGTATTTTCAGTATTAATAGAAATAATTTCAGATCTAGAGAATAAGTAGAATGGATTGTAATGCAAATAAAATTTTAGCTGAAGGGACTGCTGCCTGAGTGACCTATAAAGGTACAATTTCTGATTTTTTTTCTTGTATTGATTGCATTTTTCAGAACAATATCTTCTGAAAAAGTATAAGAAGTCATTAGATTATTTTGTTAGGCATTTTGCATATTATATATCTGCAAGTTTTTAGCTGACAGGTTTGGGTGAGTGCCTGTGTAATTAATGTATATCTTACCTTTTTACTGGTTCTCTTTTGTTCCAGTTAGCACCTTCTTCCAAAGCAGAAAGCTCACAACACTGTTGTTGAAGTGTTTAGTCACTCTCTGTGCCAGAGTCTTTCTCCGTTGGTTTGTCTGTGCATCCTTCCCATTCCACCGTAATTGCTGATGCCAGTGGCAACATCCACTCACAGTAAGAGTACAGCTTGCATTGCCCTATTATTACTAGCGACTGAGTTTGTATGTGCCACTCAATTTGTAGGTGCTAATAATTCTTCCCTAGAGAGCAGCATTTTAAAGAAATAAATGTCCAGCCTATTAGAAGTAATGTAGACATTAACTACCATGGGTTTATGGTCACTCATGCAGATAGTTGCATTCAAATACAGCGTAGAACTAGATTCTCTCAGCCACAACAGCATACAAATTTGGAGTTTTGAACTACTAGAATGTTCTCAAAGCATAAGTGAATAGAAGATAAAAGTATCCCAATCTCAGCTACTGAGTCTCTCCTACAGAAAAGGAGGTCTTCTGAGGAAAGTGCCTCATTTCTTAGTGCAGAATACTGCAAGCTTTGGACTTGGTGTTCACATCATATTTTTGCTTTGTTTTTAAACGTGGTTCTGCTTTTAACAACCTGCAGATGGCTTTGTGGATTGTTAGGACAAGAGGCAACCTGGCTGCTGAATTACTTTTCGCTGGGTATACTAAGTGTGCATTTGAATTGGACTTTTAGAACTGATAGAAGCATGTCCTCTCCTCTCTACTGTGTAATGAAAACACCATTATCCTCCTCAGTCAGCATCTGTGTCGAGACTTCTTTATTTGGTTAGGAGTTAGGTGCCTAGATTGGAGAATGGGAATGTCCTTGTTGCATTCAAAGCAGTAACTTTCCTTCATTTTTGCCTTACTTGTGTATAAGCTTTGGATATAATAGGATAAACTAAAAGGTTTCCTTCAGAGACCTCTGAAAGTAGTGCATTTTAAAAGCAGGTAGGTGTCTCCACCCTACTTTTTCATGAAACATTTTACCCATTCAAGCAGACTTTTAAAAACAGCTTGTTTTGATAGCAGCCTGTTCTCCTGTGGGCCTTCAGCCTTTGCTTCCTGGCAGCACCTTTGGTGCAAAAAGAGAGTGATCAATTGGGAGACTATCAGTGCCAGCATGCATAGAGTGATAAGTTAACACACCACTGGGAATTTCTAGGGCCCACCAAGATACTTCACTTCTAATGTGCTAACAAGCTCATTTTTCTACCTCTTGCCTCTTCAGTTATTTTTTTTCTCAGAAGAGCTTAGAAGTTGAGTGCATCAGGCATAATGAAAAGCTCTGTAGGAGGGAGAAGCAATAACCCCATTTTTCCCTTTTCAGCCAAATAGAAAATTAGTTTCTGGTAATACACAAAGGCCGGTATTTTTTGTGCAAGGGGCACTGCTGTGAATCAAAGGACTCTATTAACTGCAGAAAATTCAGCAGCTGTGAATCTCCCCCAATGAAAAAAGTGCTTTTCAACAAGTTGTGAGATACATAGTATTATTTAGACTTCAACCATCAGTTTCATCCTCTGCCACTTATACATAGCCTCTTAAAAACTGTGCTATATTACTCTCCTCTGTTAAGACTCAATACTGTGTTTATCCCCCAACCTAAGAACCGTTACAATGGGAGATTTTTATATTTTCTCTTGTCCCAGTGCTTCTATTATAGCTTCTCCAGCCTGAGACCTCTGCTGAGGTTCAGCTGTCTCGGGATCCAGAAAGAATTTGGAACACGTTTTTTGGAGGAAAAATTGTTTCCCGGTTTCACTAGGTAACCAAGTTGTGGTCTGAGGTAGTACAGTGAAGATCATCTTATTCGCTAGAAGTTGTTTTAAATTAACATATTCTCTATACATTTTTTCATATTGAGATATACCACAAAAGCTACTGTAAATATTGTACAGAAAACATCTGCAAAAAAGTTTCATAGGAAAAGTTCTGTAATTGTTGAAGTACAGTTTTAAAAGCTAAGATGAAAGGTATTGTTTCCAGCTGTAATTTAGAACCAAGAATTTAATTGCTTATCATAAATGAAAATAGTATTATTATTTAGTTTAAAACTTAGCACATATTATTAAAAACTCTTATCACTTATAATGCAGTTTTTATCTTTGGATTGCTAAAAAATGCATGGAAGGTGAATATTATCCCCATTTCACAGCTGATGCAATTGAGTCAGAACAGTAGTTTCCTCACTGCCCCTGTCCTCCCCAAAGAGAGCAGTAAACCTGAAATCAGAACCCAGAACCTTAGAGAAACTGGTTCTGAGTGCATTCCTCCAGAGCATGCTGATTTGTTTGGGTTTTTTAGGGAAATAGAACGCAGCTATGTAAAGAGGAAATGATCTCACTATCTACAAATAAAATATGAAAAAAGTGTAAACAACCGTAAATGCCAGGAAAAATTTCTGATCATTTTATGGTTCTATAACATAACTGGAGAAGGTCTCCCTCATTCAGCATATTGAGTCCAGCTGGAGGACTTTGAAAGTTGTGAGAGAAAAGGTTAACTGATTTCTCAGTTCAGGAACTGTACGACGTGAAGTCAGCATGGTGGTTTTTCTTGATAATTGTATGTTGCTGCCTGCTGCTCTACATTTTGACAGCCATTTCCATAGTTGCTTTCATGAACAGCAGAAGTATTCTCTCTTTTTCTTGCTCTCTCTGTGCTAACAGCACAATCAGGCCTGCTGGAACAAGAAGCCTGGAGAGGGTTCTTCAAAAGCAACAACACTTCAAGATGCCGGTCTCTTGTCAATAATATCAGAGACGGAGAACACAGGGAAAAGGAAGTACAGTAGTTTGCTGTCAGTGCCCTGCCGACACCCTGTTAGCCAGTATTTAAGGGTCCTGTGGATTCTTTGCAAATATTCTTGCTTTATGTTTTAACAGCATAATTGACGAGGTGTTTTTCCCAATACTCAAATTTCGCTATGTATTTAGCTTAACTGCGTGTGTGTGTGTTCAGGGATTATGGAAGCAGTTTCTTACAGGAAAGTGCAAAATAATTAATTTTGTTGATGCTAAGGCTATTTTTCGTGCTATACCTCTTACAAAATTGTAATGTTTTTATATTTAATTGTGACCAGGGTAGAGCCAAATCAATTACTTAAAAGAGAATGTTTAAGTTGCTGTTGTTTGAAAAAAAAATCAGAAAGTTTTGTATCAGATGTGAAAAAAAGATAGTTGGACCATAAGGTTTATATTATTCACGTTTGTCTTACAGTTAATATTAAAGTGTATCAGATAATATAGTTATGTAAAGAATTAAAAATAAGAGTGTACAGTCACTGACATACATGATATGTATTTAACAAAAGCAAGAATTCTGAATTATTAATCACTGATACTTAGCAGTTACAGTACATGATATAAATTGATCCTTAATTCTTGGCTAAACCAGTTATGAGGAGAGAGCACGATACCTGCAAACAATTGTTCAACATCATCTGGAGCCTACGACTTTCGAGGATTTTGCTGCTCAGGTTTTCTGTCCAGCACCTTACCACCATTTGCCCTCAGATGCAGGTAAGAAGTACAGCAAAGAACTGGTTTTATACGCTCTTATTTGCAATGCAGTATCCTTAACTTATAAAAACTAAAAATTCAGACCTTCTCACATCATTAGGAGTTACCATTAATCTGAAAGACTATGTGTACGTATTTTGAGAACCTGGACAAAGTTACTTTTAAATCTTTATTGTGTTGCCTGGCATCGTGAGCCAGTGCCTGGCATTAAGATTTCGCCAGCTGTTTTAACATAACAACCAGACCCTGTATTTTTACAGCAAATTTTGTCTTATTCCCCTGTATAAAGCCTCTGTGGAAGCATTGGTACTCCTTCCTCCAGGCTAGTTGGGGTAGATACATTCTTCAACCTAAGTACACCTTCCCTTATAAGAAAGTTTTAAGGCTGACTACATTTTTAGAATGTAGTTTTAAGTTGGAAGTCTGAGAGTCTTGCAACCATCAATTTTCCTTCCAGGTTACTAGCTGCAAAGTTGGTTTTAGAGTCATTTTTGCTTCCCAGTAAAACACCTGTTTTATAAGAGGATACTGCATTTTCAGTTACTAATGAGAAAATCGGTAAAAGAAAATGAGTAACTCAAGGCCTTCCTGTTCTGAAATTTCTTGAACTCCTTATGATTATTTCATTATTTTATTTCCCCTCTTTTTAGATCATTAAATATCAGTTCTGTTTATCTGAAGGTAAGACAAAGTGTCCAAAAAACCCCTTTGTTCCTCTTACTTTTACTAGAGCACTAAACTTGTAACCAAATTGTATGCAAACTTTCCTTGTTGCCCTTGTTCACACTAAAAAGAATTTCACACTGATTGAGAAATGACCACTACATCTTCTTAAAAGTTTTAGTCTTTTACTAACCTCAGGTCTGCATGAAGCACTAACACTGGTTCTGGGATTAAGGTAACTAATGATAGAGACAGTTGTTGAATGAGTAACACTATTGTGTTGACCTTTGTTTCTCAGCATGAACAAGTAGTACTGGATGGCAGTGGTGTGTTTTGTAACCTGTACTGTCTTTCATTGATGTTGTAAGACATTCTGCAGTGATAACATAGGAGAGAAGGAGAAGAAGAATGTGTAACACTTGAAATTCTTTGTTCAGAAACCTTTATTTAATGACGAATAAATCAAAATGTTTCTGTGGAAAAGCTGTGAATCTAAATAAAATACATTTTGTAAGAATAAATCAATTTGGCAAGTTGTTATCTCAAAATCCGTTTCTTAATTGCAAAAATACGCAGAAATAAATTCTAAAACTATAGAAGAGTTGTGATAGGACTACAGAAAAAATGACTGAGAGATGTTAAATCGTTGAGACTGCTTTGCTTGAAAGTACAAACCATAAGCAGAAATGACGTGCAGTTTCAAAGCATAACAAGTGGTACACTCATGCCAGTGCAAATAGTCAAGACCAAAGGGAAACAAAATTAAAAAGTAATTTAAAACTAAGTAAATCAGTATAAAAAGATGGTAACATAATTTAATGTATGAAAACATTTGAATAGGAAAAATCTGTAGCTAGAAACATTAAAAACAATAATCAGGGATACCAGTCCTTGCCACATTTCCTACCCAATGCACTCAGTAAGTATTCAACACCAGACACGTTTGAATGGCCAGTGTATATTCTGTATTCTAGTGCACTTGTGCCGGTTCTGCCTGTTCACTTTTCGGAAATCTCATTCCGGGCTAAATCATTCTGCTCTCTTCCTCTAGTCCGTTCTTTGCAGGTGAAGCAAAGCTGCTTTTCTGTACTAGTTTGGTGCATTGGAGAACACTGCTCTATGGTGGCAATTCCTGTATTCCTTTAAAAATTGTCCTAGTCATACTTGGTATTCTCTAACATGATCTGGAAAGAGATTATGACTTTTAGAATCTTGATTTTAGGCTTTACCTGTCTATCAGATGTAATGATTTTCTGCGGGAATCTCATTAATAGGATCTGGTGATGTATTTCACATCCGCCTGTTTGCGCATGTGCATTTACGTACCATGAAACGTGGTGTCGTGTCCTCAGGGCCACATTCTTCTGAATCTTGTGCTGTGCAGTGGAACTGACCGACCCATCAGTGTCCGGAGCAGCCAGGAGCTTCCTAGGACGGACGTGCAGCACAGTGTGACCCAGCGGCAGAGTCACAGAACCTGCCTGGCTCTGAGCGTTCATTTCAGGCCAGGGAAGTTGGGAATGCTCTGGCAGTCCTGCCTGCAGCTTCGGGGCTGAGCCCTGTGCGATCTGGGGCACTGATACTCAACTCCAGGACAGAGTGCCTGGAGTAGCACCACACCATCTGTCTCCAGGCTGTCTCTGGAGGGCACAGATTCTAAAGCCCAAGACAGGTATAAATTAACACTGCAGTCATCTGCCATAAAGGTTACCCCAGGGCTTGGGGTCAGCCTGGAAACCACTGGTTTCCAGTTCTAGTGAAGGCAGACCTGTGAGCGAGGTGGCTACAGGTGACCCAGAACTTTGAGGGACCGTCATCCCAAGAAAGAGTCCACCAGATGAGCTATTAAAGAAACTAGATACCCTTAAGTTTCCCGCAACACTCCATCAGGCAGATTTCTTGAAAGATAGGTACAGAGCTCTGAATTGTGCCAGGATTGCGCAAAGGAGTGGTACCGGAGTCCTGCCTGGCAATCCACACACATTCATCACCCCCAAGATGACTAAAAACCTCGCAGGCTCCCTGCCATTTTCATATAATCTGAAAATTTCTGACTAGCTTCTAAAAATACACTTTTTTTTTTAAATACAAAATATTTCATTTTTCTGTTTTCTTAATGAAAAATAACTGATCAGAAGAGATTAGTAAAGACTTCCACGTTTCAGGTATTATAGACTTGATTCTTTAATTGGATCATGATCTCCAAGATTACAGTTGTTGAATGTGTTTAATTTTTATGAAATACTTTCTAAGAAAGATATATAGGAACTGTGAAGCTACTACAGCCCATTGCTAGGCGTTGTAATTTTTTTTTTTGCTGTGATCCCGTTGGCCGGTTTCACTATGCCAGTTTTTTCATCTGAGCTATGATAATCAGAGCAGAGAGAACATGCCATTCGGTAACAAACTCTGTTTCCTCGGACTGACATATTTTGTGAAAGGCTCAGCCCTCAGCAGAAGCTGTTTCCTTCCTTGGAGTGGCTGCTCTTCAATACAATGTGATTGTGGCTGCTGCTGTTTTATCTAGATACTTAGTTTGCCCTGTCAGAATATGTGACAAGTCCACCTTCCCATGTTTAGGAACCTGACTAGTGTAGTGGATGTGTACATTTGAAAAAAATTGAGATTTAGCTGCGCTTAATCACAGAATATAATTCAGTTGCCTCTGTATTTTTTATTTTGTGCTGAATCTGTTCAGCAGAGTAAGTGCAAATGCTCTGTTAAGTAAGAGTGACTCCTGCTATACAGCTATTGAGTAAACCAGATTTCCGTGACGCCAGAACAGGTTGAGGGAGCTGTCAATGGTAAGCTCAATGATATTGAAGGACTTATTGACCCCATGGTGCTAAGATTCTGAGCTTTAAAATGCATTGATGTCTTGGGTTTGATTTTTCTCCATCTTCTTTTTTTCCCCCCCTCTCTTTCTACTAAAAATAGTACCTCAGTGTAGTAAACCTTATGAAGAAGGGGCCTCTCTACATTAGTCATAGTATTTTCATTGTGGTAAAAGCAGCAGACTTTTTGATCCCAGCAAGCATTCCTACATTTTCAAGCCTGCGTTCAGAACAGTTCTGCTGCCCCGCTCCCAAAGTAAGTGGGGATGTCAGCTGACAGGCAGGGAACCAGGGGAACGTAGGGGTAACGATACTCCAGCCTTGCACAAGAGAAACTCAGATTCGACAGCCTGCAGCTTAGTATCTTCTGCTGGTTGTTTGCTGTGTAACTTTGAGCAGAGAATGGTTTTGGCCCTGTATTGTCCCTTCGCAGATGAGAGCAATGGTGCTTTTCTCACTGTAGAAGGGTCCAAGCAACACTTGGTGGTGGTTGAAGTTCGTGACTGGAAGTGAAGTTGAAATCAGAAACATATTACATGTGTCTGGCAGGGCTGGGAAGAGTTTCTCATTATCCCTTCTCCAGTCCAAACCTAGGAATTTATTTTTTCATTCCAAGTCAGAGAAAAACCACAAAACTTACTGAAATTTTTGAAAAATTTCATATTGGAACAACTGAAACTGGAACTTTATGCATTTCTCAACTATTGTTCTTAAGTTAACCGCTTGTGTGATAGTAAGCTGAGGATCCTCAGCACTTTGAGGCAGTAAATTCAGAGTCACCTGCTAGAGACATAATCAGATCAATTTTCTGTATTTAATGAAATGGGTCCACTGGAAAAAAAAGAAAAAGTGTGATTGTCCAATTAAAAAGCATCCCTTGCATATGCACAAAGGGACAAATTTAAATTCTAATCCTGACATTTCCTAGTTTTTGAATGTTTGACTTTATGAATTTATTGTCTTGTGACAACATTTTCCTGGTGTAATTCCTTCCATTTCTGTGTTAAGGCACAGGGCAAAAGAGACATTCTGTAATACTGATTAACAGCCGCGTGATTCATAAGCAAGTTTGTAGCCTCTAGATCCCCCACCAACTCCTGCAGACTGAGATAGGGCAATAACTGGTAGTAATGGTAAGCTGTCTTACCTCTGCCTGAATCTCCACTAGTGGAAGGATTGGGAATTTTGCCAGTGGGTTTCACAGGTATCAGTTGACAGAGGTGAATGGGTTTACCCAACAGTCATGTTTCCAGCCATGTTCTGAAGAGCGTTCCTCACTGGACATGGGCTCTGCCGCTCTTTTGCCATAAACGTCATCCTTTTTGCTGTCTTCTTTCTCATGGCTGGCTCCTAGTTCTTTCTCTCCTATACGGTTCCAGTCTCGCAGGTCCTTAGGCCACTCGCCATCTCTTCCTCACCACCTCATCTTGCTTTGCAGCTGCTTTTGCAGTCTGTCTCTGTGCATCCGCTTCGCGCTTCCTTTCCTCGTTTCCCAACATTAGTGAGAGACTTCATTCCTTGATTCTAGCAAGACTCTGCTGAGCATGATGGACAGCTTGGATTCAGAGTGGAATTTGTAAGAGTGGCGAAGGGCACAAGCTGTACGAAAGTGATTGCCCTCTTCCCTGTGGGTCAGGTGGGGAGGCTGAAGTTATCTTAGAAGGCCATCAACATTTACCAACATGCACAAATTCATTTTCCTCCGTGGTCATTCTCAGAGATGGCACTGAGGAAAATGCTGATCCAAACAAAGTGTGGTGAAGCTAGACATGCTGAGAGCAGCCTTAACTTGCAGCAGATCAGCACCCTGTCAGGCTGCTGCTCGGTGCGTTTTTCACCCCTTTGAAAGTCGGAACTGAGGAGCGAGATGAGCCATGCCAACGTGTGTGTTTTTACACCTTCGGATTCCTCCAGCTCACCTCGCTTCTAGCTCAGCCTCTCTGCAGTTAGGACTCTGTTTTACATTTAAATATCTAAATTCTGAGGCAAATAACCAACGTACCATTATCAGGAGATCCTAAAAATTTCAAAACTTTGTTGATCCACCTCCTTGTTCAGAAGCAGTTGAAACGGCTTTACATTATGGCCCCAAAATATCATAGCTCATCAGGCCATGATATTTGTCTGTTGCCAGGCCTAAGAGATGAAAAATATGGATCGCTTCCTGACATTTTTCAGCCTCTTAAAAATCCTAACACATCTATTTTGTTTCTTTTAATAGAACTTTCTGCTTCTAGGTCAATTGTCAATAAAGCCTTCTTATTTAACCCTCTTTTTATATTTTTGATAACTAAATATTTCATTGCGTAAAGAGATAAAGATAACAACATTTTACACTGACGATTTTAAAACTGTGAAGGGGAAACAAAACCGGCAAAAATGCTATATACCACATTTAATATCCACATGTGTGTATGTGCGTATGTATGTATATGTAGATATATATGCTTATCTAAAATCCAAAGAAATTGAGTTACTAATCAGTCTGTTGATTGCTGTCAGACTTTAGATGTATTTTAAGTGCCATTATTCTTCACTCTTCTGGTGTGATATGTTCAGATGTGAAAATCACTTTACATGACTTCTGTTCTTCAGTTGCTGTAAGTCAGTTTGTTAAAAAAAAGGGATTGTATGTGAATCTCTGCTTCTGTCTGCAGGAATTAGAAATAAAATTTGAAGATATGACCGGAGTAATACCTTAATTGAAATAATGGGGGGTTTAAAGGTTTTCTTTATCCAGCCCGTGATAAAATTTCACAGTGAGGTTTGACCCTTCAACACAGACCAGCTAGCTTAAATGCTGTGTTTTTTCTTCTTTACATGATTTGAGGAGTCTCATGTTGAGACTGGCTATAATTTTAGCACGCTTAATACTGTGAAACAGCTGGGGAGCAGAAGCCATATATCGAGTTGCCATTTGTTTTTCCTTCTCGATTGTGTGTATGTATGTGAGTAATTAACTGTTTTCACAGACTTTAAGCAAGCATTTCAGACAATGTTTAGGATGTATCTCAGTTGCTATGAATAAGGTTGCTGGATCTGGATAATGTTATAGAATTCTTTTCTTTCTCTCTCTCTTCCTTTTTTTCTTGTAATGCTTAGTTGGTAAGTATGACGCCGGATTTCCGAGCTGTTGCTTCATTGCACATGACTAACTCATCACTCTCTTTAACCTGTAGCATGAGCAGCAATTGCATAATGAAATTCGAAATTCCGTTTTCTGTGCTCATCTGTTAATGCCCTTCAATCTCTGCGGTTCGTGCCTCATGTCTCACACCTGTTATCTTTTATCTTTTCTCCTCCCCCTTCCTCACTTCTTTCCACTCCTCCTTCCTCATCACTTCTTCATTCTCAACAAAGAAAGAAATGCTGTGATATTTCTTCTCCTTCCAAAACCTCCACTAGAAAGCATTGGCCACATCAAGGTAAAGGGCAAAGGCTTGAAACGGAAGGTCTTTCACGCTAGCTGTGAATGGTATGCTGTGCAAAACAACAACGGTTATTTTCTGTTCACTAACTTCCACCATTTGAAATGCTTTAATTCCTTGTAAAATTAGAACAAGATAGAATTTCAGAAAATGAGAGTGCATGTTTCCCTGCCTGCCTTTTTCTATAAGGAACAGTGAGTCAGGCATTATCATGCTTTTCCAGATTGTTTGGCAATGCGGTACCTAGTTCATGAACAGAATTACTGTCACCAGCTGGGGAGCAAATAACAGCCCTTTCTCCTCCCTGTCACTGCGATGGGTCCTGTCAGTTTGAAAAAGAGAGGAAGTACCATGCCGTCTCTCTGGAGCAGGCAGGTGATGGAGCAGGCGAGGGGGGAGGCCGGATCGCTAAACCACTGAGGTTTATGATAATATGTTTTACATCTACTCTTCTTACCCGATGACCTTATTTTATTTTAGAGGGGTCTTTCAGAGTGAATCGTGATCAGTGTTGAGCGTTTTTTTGCACCCCTTACATATGAAATGTGTGCTGAGGGAGTTCTCAGTTCTGAGTATGGCATTGTTATTTTAAACAATTACCAGTAACAGCGTGATGCGGAAGAAGTAGCGAGTGATACTTTGGCGTACTGAACTCCACAGGGGTTTCCCCATTGACTTCTGCAGGACTAAGCTTCTGTCCGTAGCTTACAGGGGTCAGGAGCGGTCACTAGCGATGGAAGTAGCGGAGTTCAGTCAGGCTGTCAGTCTCTGTAAATGGCTAATTAAAATGCAGCTTAGTTTTGTGGATGTGAGCTCATTTTCTGTACGTGGGAAGGAGAACATAATTCTGATTTCTTATTTTCTCCTTTTCCCTTTGTGTCTCTATGGAAGAAGATTTGGAGAGGGGCTGTTTGTAAGGGAAGAGCTCCGTCCTCTTGCAGTGAGGACTCGGGGCCCACTGGAGCGTAGCTCTGGGCTGATGAACTATGTGCCGTTATCTCAAATTCATCTTGTTCCTTTTACAAAGAAACATTAACGTGTAGTGCATCCAGTTAGTACGATCTGTTCAAGCTTCTGCCTTTGTGGGCCCTGTAGGAATTTGCCTTTTGAAGCACTGACTAAAGTTGGGACGGGAGATGTTTTGCTCTCCCAGTTGGCCCCCGATTCACTCCACCTCTTCAGCTGCATTCCCAGAGCTCCCCTCATGCGCAACGAGCTGTTAACCTTCATGTTCTCATTAAACACTGGTTTATTCTGGGTGGTGGCTTAAGTAACGACTCCCCATCCCTGCGAGGGATCTGGAGGTGTCCGTTCCCCCGGTTAGCGGGAGAGCGTCACCCACTTCAGTGCTGCCTCAGCTGCCGAGAGCGAGGGGATTCCGCAGTCCCGTAGCCCAGTGGTTTCTGGCATCGTCTTGCGGCAGTTGCTAGCTCCACGTGCCGTACCATCTCCCACAGCTGGTAGAGGGCTAGGAGAGGCTGTGGGAGTGACAGCAGCACTGAAATTCCTCTCTGCCCCTTGTGAATAGATCCCCGCTCTGTGGGTGCGGAGGGCGGCACTGACCCGTCTGGTTCTTGCTGTCCTCTGCAGGCTTCTGCCCAGAGACTCAGCCGGGAGAAGCTCCAGCAGCAGCACCAGCACAGGTGGATGGAACAGACTTAGCCTCTCCAATGTCTCCTCGGACTAGCAAGAGCCGCATGTCCATGAAACTGCGCCGCTCCTCGGGCTCGGCCAACAAGTCCTAAGCAGCGAGATGCCTGCAGCTTCCCAGTGAACCGCGATCGGCCACCCTTCCCGCAGCGACTCGCTGCTCTCCGTTACAGGATGATGTCTCTAATGTGTGTGTGCCCGTCCCCCGCATACCCCTCTTCTGTAGGCTTGTTTTAAACAGTGACACTGGAATTTTACTTTAATATTTTAGCTTTTTTTTTTTTTTATCAAGCTGCAGGCTGCCTTTGTTTTCTTTTTTGTTTTCTTTTTTTTTTTTCCCCTCTTTTTTATCTCAGTGCAGTTTGTACTCTGCACCTTTTACCTTCCTGGATGATTACGATATCTTAACAGTAGTCATTTTTAGCTCTGGTGGATCTTGACTCATATATGGAATTGGAGACTGCAGTTTGATAACACTATATTTATTGTGCCCCACTGCAATTTTCTCTGTAACAAAGAAAGAAATATGTACAACCTGAAAATGAATGTACAATTTCAAATTGAAGTTGCATTTGTAAAGTCATTTGTCAGATGTCACAATGTTAATGCACAGGATGTGTACAGATTATTTATGTTAAGAATAAAATAGTTCAACGGCCTTTCAAGCATTAGAGTCCAGACGAAACAACTTGCTCGTAGCACCAACTCTTTCTTCACAGAGCAACATGTCATGTCATAACTGTGCGAGTGATGCCATGATCTATGCCAGGAAAACAATCACTGTGCTGAAATTCCCCTTATGCTTGGCTTCCAAATATTTTTATAATGTTTGCTTTTCCAAGTGGTATCAATAGTAAATGCCATCTGTTAGCCTTTATCACCGGGCTGCTGGGTCTAGATGTATATGCTTGTTTCTTACATTAAAATAAAAAAAAATTAAAAAAAGGCGCTTTCCTGATAGAAATTCATTGCTGCGATGATGTGTACTAGGGCAGAAAAGGGAACGTGCTCCGGGAGCCTGGCGTGAAATGCTGGCGATTCCAACCCTGTGAGCGCAGATGAGTGCACAGGTTCCACCCACCCAGAGATATTTTCCTACAGGAGATGAAATGCTCACATTTTGAGTCTGGCAGACAACAAGATGCTGTTAACAAAATGTAGCATGACATCGGTACTAACTGCATGTGTAAATATATCATATGGGCAACGATAAAAAGATAAATTATGTACTGTCATTCATGTAGTATCTACGAATTTGTAATGGTTGAAGAGAAGACATGCTATTTAATAATACAATAAAATTATTCTTACCACCTTTTGCATATTTAGTCATTCACCTCGGTGACGAGATTCTTACTCCAGTTTGTAGAAGAACAGCACATTACGCCTGGAGTGCTTCGGTGCCATTCACAGCTTAGTTTTCATTTGTATTACAATGTGCACACGAGTTCTTGGGAGCCCTTTCCCAACCCACCGGGAGAACGCCGTCCTGAAAACTTTTGCCCCCCCAGAGCTAGTAAACACAGCCCAGGCAGCTCTGGAGGCCATGCAGAGCGCAGGACGCTCCCTCCTGCAGGCTGGTTGTTTGACTGCTAATGGCAGGAGCAGTTAATAATCGCCACCTTCCGTGGTCCGGAGCCCTTCCTCTTTGACTGTACAAATGGAGAAAGGAGAGCGATTATTAAAAAAAAATCACAGTGACCTTCTCCAGGGGAGACCTCATCTGACTGCATGAACGGGCATTTCTACCTAAGTCACTGTTACCAACAAATGATGGAAAAACGCACGACTTTTAGAACAACACGCTTTGTTTCTGGCATATGAGGAGAGTGAGCTGCGAGTTCAGCCTCCTTCGTTAGACAGCAGAACTTGGCTGCTTTAGGTTGTAATGTGTTGTTGGTCCGGGTCCCGGAGCTAAAATGAGAAAGTCCGTGAAGCACGTGTAAAATAAAGCCCTTATCGCCTGCTTTTCAGCCTTTGGCCATGATACAGGTGAATCTGTTGTTGTGTATAACAAATACACAGCTACAGAAAGAATTGCTTTGGAGGATCCTAATCGAAAGATTGGAATATTTCACATGCTCATTGCAGAGGGAGCGTCAGGACAAAGACTGCGGCGGGGATCGACTCTGCTCCTCAGAAATCACCAGCTGACCCACTTTGCCCTGCTGAATTCAAGGAAGGCGCAAGCTTGGTTTTAAATCCTTTATTGAATTTGCTTGCCCTTATTTTCGGCCTCATCTGCCACCACATTTGGAAACAAGCACTCAAGCGTGGGAAAAAAATTAAATAAATAAATAGACAGACAGACAGACAGATAGATCGATAGATACCGGCTGAAATGTCAGTAGCTGGTAAATTCGACAGCATTTCAAAGCGCTTGGCCAGGCCACTGTTCCAGCCAGGGAACACGCGCGCTGTGGGCTGCTCTGCTCAAGGGAGGTTTCGTCAGGGAGAGGGACGGTGGCATGTCCTCTGTGCCTCAGCCACCGCTCCATGCTCTGGTCTCGGCTGCTGGCAGGGCTCAGAGGAGCTCACAGCAGCAGCGCAGCTCCCGGGGCAGAGGAGGCCCGGTGCGGGCAGGGACCCTCTGCCCCCGACCGGCAGTGCGGGGACGGAGCGAGCGGGAGATGCATACTTAGCTATCCAATATCAACACCTGGGGTTTTAATTAAGCAGACAGCACGATTAATTCTCCATACGTTTTGCTAGCTATTGTATGACTCGACATCGACTTAACATGAACGTTTACCTTCTCGACTACCTCGGCACGGGGTACAGCGAACAAAACACCTCACAATAACTTAAGTGTTGAAGCTCGGGGCGAAGGCTATTAAAACAAGGTCGCTCGGTCAGGCTCCTTCTCTCGCGAAAAATAATTCCTCTCTTTAAATATCGTATATACAGCTGTACTTCTTCTATCCCGGGACCGCGCGTCGCCACGGAAGACGGGCCGACCGCTGCCC